ATTTTTTCACTGCTTCTGATTATGCTGTCCTCCACTCCCTGTCAGCAAATAATTCTGATAATTTGGTTGTGCATCGTTATGCTATTTTAATTACAAGATGATGGACTCCAGTTCTGCAGCTGAGTCACAATTCCGTAATTCTCTTTTAACTACACCCCAAATACCTGCCACAGTGCTCCCATATTGACAATGAAACTCATTTATGTGTATTCTTGCTTTGCCAGGATCTCTGTGAAAAATTGTGCTTATAAAGCCCCCAAATGGTAACGTGATTGTTCTTGGAACAAATATAATTGTGAAAAACTAAGAGATGAGAGAGTGAGAGTGAGAGTGAGAGTGAAAGAGAGAGCACAATAAGTTAAATCTGAGGCAAATTTTTGTCTTTTTTGTGATTTCAGTACAAATAAAACTTAGATTAAAGTAAAACAAGATTATATAAAAATGACTTAATTATCTTAAAGCCTTGCAGGCATAAAGTGCTGCTCTGTTCAACTTGTTTTATGCATGCACATTCGAGATGCTTTGGAAATTGATACCAGCTCAGTAACCACTGATTATCATTTAATACATCTTGTGGGAGCAGGTTTCTCAGTGATTTCCACTTTTTGAGGTTTCGTGGTTTCCTGCATTATATTTGCCCCACATGTGCAAAGCCCTGCTTATTGTGTAAGTATGTGTGCTTCTGTGTAAATGCAATAGGTAGGCAGTTAAAGCTTAATCTTTCTACTGTGGGAATGGCTGTAGCATATGTAAAAGAGGTAAACTTGGATTGGTACACATACAAACTCTGCAACACAGTTAATATACATATGCATTGTCCTTATACAGGAACTTGAATACTGTATATCATGTCTGTACATGTATGAAAATACACACACACAAACAATCATTGAGTGCATTGAATGTGAATTTATTGTGTAAACACAAATATTCACAACAGGAACAATTCTTGACACTAGAAATGGTAAACTATTGGATTTGGTAATTGTGAACAGCTCCATAAAGGTCATTCAGTGTGTGCATGTAAGCACAGCTGTGTGTTTATGTGTTTGTGTATTGGATTATTGCAGTGCATCTCATTGCTTTGACAAAGGCATCATCATAAAGTGTTTCACTGGCTAAGCTGTTACCGGCTGTTGATTGAACCTATAGGTTATTCATGCAAATATAAGACCTCTCCTCACATCTTAATATTGTTTCCTGGTTAGTGCATATGTCATTATGTCAGTGGTGTGCCATGTTGCTGTCACATTAACACAAACCCCCAGTCTTTTAAACAGTAAAACTAAACTCACATGCAAAATCTCTGCTGTGATTTAAGTAATGACTTACAGTTGACTGTATAATAAGTATAGTATAGTATAGTATAATAAAATAAATAGTATAATAAATACTGCTAACTAAATAAACAGTAAAATGTCTGTGTTCTGTTAGTTGTACAATGAAGTAAGAAAACTTGGTACTACAGCATGAGCAGGATATTTTGTTCATGATGTTTGTTTTTGATTTGCATTACACACTCTTAATAAGCTTGAAAATAACTTCCCTTTTTCTGTTAGAACAGGGCATATTTTTTTAAATGTTCACACATGTACATTTGTTTAGGAGCTGCAAACTAAGTTTCACATTAAGTTTTTTTTTTTCCAACCATGCCTTAATAACAGCCCAGAAAGGAAAAGATTGTATAACCCACAGAAGACAGATGACAAATACGGCACGATCCAAAACAAATGCATTATCAGCATTCTTCAAAACTGAAATGTAAATGAAGATTGTGGTATCTTCAGTCTTATCTCTTGACACCTAAGATAATCACACTTGCATAATCACCACAACGCTGTGCATCTGGGCCACTAAGAAAACAATCACGTTATCTGTCAATCTTTTAAGTCTATTTTCACACTGCATTTTTTGCTTTCTCTATTTCCCCAACAGCAAACCATTCTTCGACTATGTAGGAAAAGATGTGTGGTTTTGGAACATTTATAAACAATGCCGGTGGCCCAAATAGGAGAGTGACAGAAAATAATCCTCTAAATAAAGGGATAAGTCCAATACTTTAAGTGGCCTTAGACTGGAGGGTTTAAGCCATCAGGGCTATGCAAAGGATTCTGAGGGTTACCTTCACTCTCCTCAGCCTGGGAGCCTTCTCACCATAAATCTGCTATTTAAAATGTAACACCCCACTGTACTCCTCGCCCTGTCCCTCCATCTCTCATTACCCATGCCGTCTTAAAGGTTTAATACTCATCTGTACTTGCTTTTCACTTGGTGCTATTTTTAAAAGCTCAGCTCCCATTTGTTGTAATGGAGTACAACATTTAAGGACAGTCTGGGAAAACCAGTTCCAGTAGATGGTTCTTGTTCCAGTGGTTGACAGATACACGCTGGTTAAATCTGATTTACAGGTCTTGGCACACTTTGGTAAGGTTTAGAGAGGATGATGAGTCCTTTTGCAATGTGCTTTGATGACATAGGAATGAACAACAAACATATCAGACTTAAGATAATAAGGAAACAGCTTCTGGCCTGGATTTCACAGAATCATATAAACTGCAATTAAAATATAGTATTATGTGCCAATGCATGCCTGTTGAAATGGTTAGTTTCATCTCTGGGTCGCTACGCCACATGCTATCAGTCGTTCAAGGAACAAGCTGTGATATTGGAATGAAACATCCTTCTTTCCTGCAAAGCCCACACCTCCACCCCCCGTCTTTCCCTCATTTTCTGTATTGTACTTTTGTAATTGGAGGTGCCATAATGAAATCAATTCAGTGGTGATAACAGATTTCACATCATGTTACCAGTTTACTTTGGAAGAGGCCACCACATAAAGATAAAAATATTCCTCTTTCATGCATCATCAATATCTTCATTATATGAGAGATGGGCGTCAGGTTGCATTTGCTATTTTCTTTTAATGCCACTTGACAGGGTAGCATCTTGCCTGTGTCTGTGACACACTGCGTTTTTGTCTATTCTATAATTCCACTTTTGCAGACATGCGGAAAGCAGTTTCATACCACATGATACATCAAGTCGTGATAAAGCTTGGAACAGAATGGATGTGCCTTTCTCACAATTATAATAGAGAAGCAGAAACACATTTAGTTGTACATTATCATCTTTCTGATTCTGTTACACTTCGCAATCTTTTTTAAACTCACACTTGCCAGATACACTTTTCAACATCACAGCAAAATTAGTATTTTTGTTGCAATAACCTGAAAAATTGATATATCGATTTTATAATAATATTTTTTTTTTCAAATATCAGTCTTAAGAGTCATATGTGGCTCCTCTGTGTTGTTTATTCTGAAGACTCAGGGCAGTGGTTTTAAAGTCATCTTTATTGCCAGTCACATTGATTCATATGGAGGCTGTGGCTGTGTTTGTTCTTTTACCATATACAGCTCTTCTAAAGTAACAGTAATAGCACATAAAAAACAATAGCAAATCAATGCCTTCAGATGATTTAATGTGTAAAGAGAAAGCAATAGATTCAATGTGATTCTCTTTATATCCCTATTGCTTATATTATCTTGTATTTCTCACTGACTTCATACAGAAAATATACAGTACACATGCATTTGAAAACATGCTGTAGTTTAAAATCTCAACCACAGAACTGACCAGTAACAGACTTTTATCTTTTATTTAGACGTTTGTCTTCTCTGCCTAAGTTTATTTCAGCCAAACTATGAATGTTTACCAAGTTAAACTGTTGCCTGAGCATTTTCTGAATGAATCCTGAGTTCTCACATGTGCTACACCCTAAACTACCATGTGCATCCACTAAGAAACTTGGTAATGTTGTAATAATTTAACACTTCAGAATCTGTGCCCACCTCACAGGGAGAGCAAATATAACTGTCTTGTTTTAAATGCAAGTGTTCGTATTTCAGCAGCAACACAAGCAGGGAAGAAAATGCAATGCTGCGTTTTGATCTAAGTCTAGCCTAATTATTTGGAGAGGAGAAGAAAGCAATACAACTGATTCTGTTTTTTTTCTCATTTTTTTGTCTTTAGGCAGTGTACCATTTTCCCTAGATACACACTACAAAGTGAATTCCAACTGTGCTCTGGGACACAGTGGTAAGACACAGGGATGTCCACAGGCAAAGGCCTGAAGTCACGCTCTGTGATGCTAACCATAGCTCTACAGTATACGCCTATTTTAGCCTTGGTCTAATTACTGTCAGGTGAAGGATAGGGGGGTCACCAGTGTCAGCTTGTGTTGATATGTGCAAGCTATAATACATGTAGGTCTATGCATGTTGTAACTGTACACACTAATTTACCTCACCTATTGCATAACACTGTACAGTAATGTATGTAGTATGGAACAAGTTTTTTTTAGGATATTACAATTTCTTCCCAGTCTCCTCTCCTCTCCCCTCCTCTCATCTTCTCTCCTCTCGTCTCGCCTCCACTGCTCCATCTGTGCCCTCTATATGAAAGGGAATAGTTGAGTAGGCCTGACAAAGGGCGGCACAGAAGAGGCAGAGGTGCTGAGGGAAGCCAAGCACTGCTGGAAGGGATTCCTATCTGTGTGTGTGTACGTGTGTGTGTGTGTGTGTGTGTGTGTGTGTGTGTGTGTGTATGTGTATTTGTGTACATGTGTGAATGTGTGTCATTTGAATACTACATTTCCCTACCTTTAATGTTTACTGCACACATCTGACTCTGGTAAAAATGTTTTTGAATACTATATGTGATACAAAGAAAAGGTACTGTAAATCAAAAAGTCATTTCATCTAGTGTGGTAACCCACTGTAGCCTAATATATGTACTGAGGTGTACTTAATGCCATCAACAATAATGAATTACCTAATTTACTGACACTGTCATCTATGTGTAGGATCTGTTTATTCATCCTGTGTTCAAGCCATCTAACTGAAATTGTAATGTATCTATTTGAATATTATTATTATTAGGAGAAAAGAAAAAGTAAAAGAAAAGCTTCAAGTTGTTATGTATGGTGTGTCTAAAAACAGATCAACACTGACAGGACCTGGTTCCTGCCCCTCACGCTTGTCCGACCATGCACGTCTGGCCCTACACATGCTGCCATCCGACCTGGGCCTGCCGTTGCTGGGGCAACAACAACAGCCGCATAATAGCTGGCGTGGCTCTGTTCGGCAGCTCGGCCTCATTATGCTGCTGATGGCTTTGATGTGGTTTGTGAGGCTCTACCTGCATTACTGCAGCCAGTGGCTCTACCTCCAGGCCATAGCAGTTCCTGTCAACAAGTGAGTTTGCTTCCTTTGATATTGCCCTGCACGGACACACACACACACACACACACACACACACATAGGTATGATGGGGGAATACATGGATACACATGCACACACACACAGCAGAATTACATAGACACTTTTTGAGCATGCACATTGCTGCTGACATAAATCCCTTCACATGGAGGACAGATACATACAGTACACAGATTACTGAAGCGCATAGGCAAACTGCAAATGTACCCACAGCTCAATAGACAGGCATGCAAGCTCAGAAACACACATGCAAAGTATGGTTGTGGTGAAATGGGACGTGGAGGGGGTAAGGAGCAGAGGAGAGAATGAGGAAGTGAAGTGTGTCCGAGTGTGTGTTGGCAAACACACGCACGCACACACACACACACACACACACACACACACACACACAGACTGGATACGCCCAAATCATCGGTTTGGAATCCCCCCATTAACATTTTAACAAGACTCACTCAATATTAAACAAAACCATTGTTGGAGGAGTTTGTTCATTTCACCACACCGCCCTAAGTCCCAAAAGGCTACATTATTTGGAAGGAATTTATTGTTATTTTTTGGTACACAGCATTGATAATAAATGGCAATAAAATACCACAGAATTGTTAAATCACACTGCAACATAGCATATGGTGCTGATTTAATTCATCACTATAAAAGGAGCTGGCTGCAAACATGCATAGAGGCAGGTTTTTATTACAATAACATGTGGGGTGCAAACATCACACATTAAATCATGGAAAGTGATAGAGGAAGGCAGACAGAAAAAATGTGGCTAAATGAAAAAAATGCACTGAAGGGGCGGATAGGAGGTGAAAAAACGAAAATATGAAAACAGAGGGGGTCAACGTCAGATGACAACTTCCACATGTCCGAATCTGCTGCTCTCCCTCCAAGCATTTCTCTCTCCACGCAATGTCCAGAGCTGGTGGTGCCCGGTGACAGAAAGAGAGAGACCAAGTGACAGTTAGAGTCACTTTCGTGATGGCGAGCCTCCCTCCCCTCTTGTTTCTATTTCACTCTCCTTTTTAGTCCTCTCTAACTCAGTCTCTCTTTGCCTCCTCCTTCCCATAATCCACCCTTGGACTTTAGCAGACAGCATAGTGTGCCCAGGAGCAACAGAGTCTCTGGCCCCATGGCCCCCTCCTTCGTGGTTTTTTTTCATTTTTTTTTTTTCAAGTAAAAGTATTGTTGTCTTGTGTTCAAAATTAAAAGTAAAGTTAAAAGTAGTTTCCTTTTTTTCATTTTTTATAATAGTAATAGTAATATTTTCTATTCTTGTAATAGATCATGATCCACATGCCTAACAATAGCACTGTATATGCTTAAACCATTACAAAGTACCACATGTAGTTTTTAAATTTCAGAACAATGTGACAGAAATACTATTGTTTACTGTAATAAGGAGTGAATACTGCCAATGCCAGAAATGCTGTTGTAATTTATTGAACTGGTTTCATCCCATTACATCAAGATTTACTATAAATGAAATATTCTCTTGTCATTCGTGAAATGAGATTTAACAATGTAATTTATCTAGAAAATACAATCCTATGCTATTTAATTAGAAAAAATAACACTAAAGGGGGCATTGTGGAAAACTCACTTTTCAGTGTTTATGCACATATATCTGGTCTTTGCTATGCCTATTGACCCATGACCTGAAATTAGACAACCCAGTGGGCTACCCATGTCAGAAAATACATGCCCCTTCCTATGTAAGAAGCAGGAATATTTCAATTATACCACCCTCTATGTGAGTATATCTCTCATAGCTCAACCCATAGCTCGAGAACTACTTTTTGAAGATGTGCCATTTTTCTCACAGGCGCCAGACTCACTAGCATCATGTCGAAGCTGAGCATGGGAACTCCTTTGTTGTTGTCTGCACTGACTAGCACAAATGGCTACATTTATGTCCATTGTCAGAGGACACAAGAGCTGAGTGGATAAAATTTATTTTTGATTGCAACTTTCCACCTACAGCTAGCAAAAATATTTACATTATCTACAGTATTTTCAAAAGGTATCATACACATACTTTGAGTCACTGAATAAACATATTAAAGCATAAATATGTCTGGCAGTAAAGACTTATCAAGTGGAAAGATTGTGAAATATGGACACAGTACAGCCCCCACAGTAGCTATGGATAGTTTGTACTGAGCAGTCTTTTAAAGAACATAAGCAAGTTATTTTGTAACTGTAACTGCCTCCCAGTTGGCTACGTAAATGTACTAAATGTCCGTCTGCTTTTTAGTCAGTAATGTAGCATATAGCTTGCTAGCTTCCAGTCTACATCCCAGTCAGCTTGCCTCCCAGTTGGCTAGTCTCTGACCTGCTAGCCTCCAGTCAGCCTCCCAGTCAGCTAGCCTCTGGTCTGCTAGCCTTCAGCCAGCCTCCCAGTTGGCTAGTCCTCAGCCAATGAGCTTCCAATGCTACCCACCAGCATGCTGGCCTGCAGCCTGCAGTCCAGCTTCCTGTTTGATCCAGACACTGGAAACATTGAGCACTCCCCTTTCTTGGGGACTTGTCTAGCTTTTCCTGAAAGGTATCTAGGGCTAGCAGAAACATCGATCCTTCCAGCTGCCCAGCAGCACAGAGACTCAGCTGCCCAGCTCTACAGAGCCCACACTGTCCAACGACCCAGAGTCTCCGCTATCCAGTAATCCTGCTGATATCTTTTCTGTTCCTCAGTCGGCGGTCCACCTGACACCAACTCCAAATCGGCTGTTATCAGTTCCTTCTGACACACTGCCTGACTTCTGAGATCCTCATTCGGTTGTCTTTGCTGAGACTCAGCCAGATGTCCAGCTGCCTGCCTTCTGCCCTGCATTCTGCCTCCACCAGCAGCTGAATTTTCTAATGCTATCTCACCAGGCCTCCGCTCTCTTCACTGGCTTCTAGAGCACTCTTGCCTGTGGCACTGGCCTCCAGAGGAGTCTCACTTATATTGCCAGCCTCCAAGTCATCCTCCAAAGAGGCTCTATCTGCCTGGTCCTCCTCCAGTTTTTCTTCCTGAAGGGACCAGCCTCTGCCGATGCCCCCCTGCTCAACCCTCTAAGGCGATCCACCATCTCCCTCCCTAACTTACTTTTATTAGATGTCTTTTTAACAGAGATCATTTCTTGACTATTGTTTCACATCCTCTGTTGTTACATATTTTACTTTCCTTCCTGCATCTTGACAATTATTGTATGTGTTTGTTACCTGCCGTACTGTGTTTTGGGAATGCTATCATTATGTTATCTCTGAATATTCTCACAACAAATGCTTACTACTTCACTGGGCTACTTCTGCATGAATAGTAACCGAAATATTATGTAACAGAGCAGTATATTACGTGAGGAAAATTTCTGAGAAACCTGTAATCTTGGTTGCCAATGTTGTATTTTCCTTCCTGATATCAGATCAGACTGCTGCTCAAACATATTATTTGAGAAATGCTGTTAAACTTGGTTACACCGCTTCCCTCTTTGCAAGGATGCCCTGGCAGGGCAGAAGCGGAAGACCAGAAACAAGGCTTAGAGTTGATAGGAAATTCATGCTCAGGCTTGCCAGAGCTGACCAATCAGAGTAGAGTCAGCCACTGTGATGAGATAATCTCTAGCAGGATTTTTCTGAGTTAAGAGATTTTCCTCAGATAAAACGTTATTGGACCTCTACTGTCAGATTAATGGACAGAATCTGAGAGATGCTTGACTATTGAAGCAAATCAGATGGAAATTAATGACCAAAAACAACACCTTTTCTCTCCCACCACTGGCTTTACCTCCTCCTAACTGATGGCAAGATTAACAAACTCATGAAGCTTGATGTGAATGGGGAGTCTAATTTACAATAGGGGGTCTAGAAAAGCTCTGTCATGTAAAAGCACAGGTGTTGATACAATTACTTGTAGCGTCAGTTTGATTTTACTTTATTTATATACTTTAATTAATATACTGTATCTACAGATTAAGATAATGACATTTGCTTTTAATACATATTACGTGTAACCAAATAGGGCAGCACAGACTAGTAAAACAGCCAGTTTGCAAATTGTCATCAGTCTAATTAAATTTGATTGACTCAACCAAAAACAAAATAACATAGTCTTTGAATTGCTAAAAGAAGTTGCCCTTGAGCTGTTAAGCATCACAAACAAAGATATACTACACTCATATTGACACATGCGCAAAATTCACACACAGTCTACATACATACACATCACCCGCTTCCATTTCCTCTCCCACCAGGTTCAAGTTCCATGCACACACGGTGGAGCTTGTATACCAGAGTTCCTTGCTCCACATCTGGGAGGAGCTGGCGATGCTGGTGGTGGGTCCCCTGACCTTGAACGCATTAATGTTCCTGCTGGTTCTGATCAGATGGGGCTGTCAACAGCTATTTGGCTCACTCCCTTCCTTCACGTCAAAGTTTATCATGGCTCAGGGAGTGTGGACAGTCCTCGACCCTCTGGCAGTCTTTGCAGTGGACGCCGTCCTTGGGGTAAGTCACTTAAAAATAGCTTGGACACTTGTGCACTTTAAATAGGAGTTCACTTTATCTTGGCAAAGTGACTTTAGATTACAAAAAAGGGGGATGGAATAGGCTGAGAAAGAAAATATGCAAGGATAGATAGATGGATGTCTTTTTTGGCAGTGGGTTAGATTTTGTCAACGAGGAAGACTAAAATGATTCTTCCTTTTACAGATGTCTAAATAAAACCCTAGTTAAATGCCATTGTAATGGTTATATCTGACCTAATAACTCACATTTTGTACTAATTATTAAGAAGTGAATCCAAATATCTGTTATATTTGTGAATGTGTGATGTAAGAGTGAGAGGAACACCAGCTGAACAGCATGTGAAACAAAATCTTTGAGCCATCATGTGATCTTTTCTTGATCACATGATGTCTTCCCCATATTGTGAATGTCCATCAAACAGTTTTTTATCTTTTTTAACTCAATCTCGGTCTCCTCAGCATCTCACCTACAGCCCTGACATACCAGTGGGTGACGCAGCCAAGCTTTACTGGCACTTCTATCGAGCTGACCAATCAGGTGCAGCCGGGGTGATCATCACTCTCTTCCTTTACGCAGTCCTTTTCCTGCTCTCCATCACCATCCTCTCCATTTACTTACTCAGGTGAGACAAACAGAAAGATGATGATGGTTAATTAATAAAGAAACAGTCTAGTCTCCATTGTCCTACATTAATGTAATGTTCTTCTGGGCCCAGGAAACAGACACACATGAGTGTAGTGTAGGATCTGCTTAACCAGTCTTTCTCCACCAGCCTACTGTACCAGACTGCAATAATGTCCAAGGTTATGGTCAGTCTTTTCTCTGAATAACAAATTCCAGTAAGAAGAGTTTAGAATAAACATATCTCAGATACTACAATCTTCATGACTGGACAGTCTGGCATCAAAGGTTACAGTGATTCAGAATTATTACAAAAACAGGTTTTATAATGATATGCTGCTAAATCGGTGTACCAAACAAAATCAAAACATGTTTGAATTACAGTAAATTACTGTATATATTTGTTTATACCATCAAACCTGGTGCTAATTCAAACATGTAGAAGAGCATCATTGTGAAAACCAAAAGCAGTTATGTCTCTTCTTCTTAGATCTCTTTTTGGTAACTGAAGCAATGATAGCAACCAACAATCATGTCATGACTAATCTAATTTTATTTTCCAATATTATTTTGATTTCCAATTATTATGAAAACAAGAAAATCAAGATAAAATGATTATTGTGTCGCATTCTGTTTCACAACAAATTGCATCATCTTGAGCCGCTTGCCGGTTCAGATACTTTTTATATTTAGTCAGGAGAGACCATGCCCTGTTTGGCTGATATCCCATGTTCAGATATTCCACCAAAATTAGCAGGTGTAAGCAGGTTTTTTAAACGTGGGTAAACCCGCTTTTGCTGATTGCCCCCATTTCCACTGCCAGTTGAGTCTGCCTTTCTGTTGCAATTGAGGACACACACATCTGCAAGGAGCACATCACATGCACTTACAGAGCACAAACAGATGCAGTGGAGAGAGTGAGCTGCTAGCCGCCGTGCAAACAGGTAAAACGTATCTGTCACATCTCATTCCTGGGTTGATGCTTCTGTAAAAGTGTCAGAGCCTCTGTGTAGGATGCTTCAATTAGTGATTGTGTGCTGCCAGGGTTGATGTGTTGTATTGCTTGCACATAAGCTTTCTAAAACAATAAAAAATGCTTTGTGAAATTATGATTATAATTTATCTTTTTATTTCTTTTCTGTTTAATTGTATTTAAAGTTCAAGAAAGTCCACTGTTAAAAATAGTTCAATAAATGCATGGTGTTTCCAAAGTCAATGAGTAATTGTGTTACACAATCTTGTTCTCTATATTGATCAAAATAATCGTGATTATGATTTTTGCTATAATCAAGCAGCCTTACAGCTCAAGCTGAGAAAGTGGGTATTATCATTTGGGTATTTTTGAACTGACAAGGCCTGTAGGGACACTCTGTCAATGAAGAGGAAGGCCTTTTCTGAGACACTGTGGCCCTCAACAGCCTACTATTCTCAAGCACACGTTCAGAAATAACTGCCTCTACCCCCACAGCCTTGTGCCTGTTCCTGGGCATCCATTTCTTTCCCTCATCTGTCCACAGAAAAGGAACAAATGCAAACAACAGAAAACGAAAACAAATATCTGTTCTGATTTTATAGTGGCATAGAATTACATTTGCAGTTATGCTTCTTCACACGTCTACTCACACACTGGGTTATCACTCACAAAAAAGCAGAAATACACACATGTACCACATAGTTACTTTTTTGGACATACCATAGTCTGCAATCAGTTCAAAAATTGATAGTGTTTCTATTTCAAAAGTTATAAGTGTATAATATAGCATGAACATGTAACCCCCATACATTATCCGATTAGGCTGAATGTTTTCCATGGTTGGTGTCAGTGCAGGTTTCATACATACTGAAATGGACTGCATATACATCATGGTAAATGCACATACATATCTTCATGCACTGTGTTCCAGTCATGTCTTTCAGATTGAGGTCAGCCGTGCTGAAGGATTTACTTGTTAGGTTGTATTGTGATTTAACACCTCAGACTGTTTTAGCAATTCTTTTTCTATTGAGCCTTCATGTCCACTATTGAGCTGTTAGCTGATTAGTGAGGCTGAGCAGGAAAAACAAAACATTGGAAATCTCTAACGGCTTAATTTAAAAAGCAAGGTCCCTGACTGTTGAGTCAAACATTGCCTTTTTCCTCGGTTTTATAAAATTACATTTTATAAAAGAATGACACTGCAATGCAATGGGAGGGCAGACTTAAACAGGCACTGCGTCACTACTATTTCCAAATTTCCAGCTTAAAAGATGAATATTGCTCTTTTTCAAATAATAGAAGGACAGCATTTTTTGCTCTATGGAAGTAAAAGAGTAGAAGGGTGGGTGGTAAATTACTGAATAACATAACTCAGTATTCATCCAAGGTGTGTTCTCCCACCCTCATATAAGACCAAATTCCATTAATGGCTCAAAATGTAAGAAAATTCTTATTGAATTAATCAGTTTGAGATTGGCGGGTGAGGAGAGGGTGCCATCTAATTTCAGTAAGCGGGACGCTTATCAGGCTCCAGCTAAATGGACAATATTAAAACAGCAGCCAAGAATAATGACTTCTGCCACTCAACCGCCACTCGGGTTTGGATTGAATGTAGGCCATGAGGCTGAAGCAAGGATGATCATTTTATGGGTTACAGTTTTCTATTGGCTGCAAGGAAGGGGCTCTGACACAGAGCATGACCTATTTCTAAAAAAATGCCTTGGGCTATATGTATAGATAGAATGGACTGTTATCCTTTTTTAATTACATTTTATGCAGTCTTTATTCACTGGCAGCAAAAATACATATTAGTGATATGCTTTGCACCTCCATCCTCTTTGAAACTTCATAAACACCCAAAAGAGTGATGTTACATTGATACTGGTGCAGTTTAGATCCAAATGATGAAGGTTCAAGACAAAAAATGTATGTAGTTTGTACTCCCTTGCTCATTTACCGTGTTTCTGTTCTTGTGTAGGCTTCTGTATGAAAGGATATTCAGTCAACTCCTAGAAATTATTTTCTAAACTAAACTGCAATAGCAAATACATTTTGTAGAAAAATAATTGCTAGCTACCATATTTCCGACTGAATGAAGCACTGCATTTATTAATGGCAGCAGGGTCACCACAGTGTAGTTGGGGAGGTCCAGTCTATTGTAAGGTTTAGGCAGCAAAAGCAAAAGGTCAAGGAAAGCTCATGGTTTTAGTTAAATGTAAATAAACATGTTATGTCTGAAGTCACAGTAAACTGTCTTCAGCATCAAACCAGATCACAATCTTTTCCTAATCTTAATCAAGTGCTGTGAATGCCCAAACATAACCAGGAACCAGTTTAATACTGGATATTGTACTGTAAGATCAGATATTTTTGCAGAAAACAAATAAGTTGTCATTTTACTGGTAAGTTCAGTAACCTGTTTGTAACTTGCCAAATATGTAAATCAACAAAATAACCTCTTTGTGTGAATATAAAATTTCCAGTCACAATTGCGTATTGAACAAAATTTGCTGTTGCAATTTAGTTGAATAGAAACATAATTTTTTTAGATTTTAGTAGAAAAGGTTGCATGTGCATATATGGGCATAGAGTACAGTATACCATTTAAAACAGGAACTAACTCAGAGGCAGGGGGGCAGTGACTTCAAAGTTTAGTCATTCATTGAACAACTCTTCTCAGAGGAAACTTCCTGATCGGTTGTAATATTATGTAAATTTCATGTGTTGGGAAACTGGGAGGCAGGACTCCTGTCCGTTGTTTGGCCTTTTGAAGGAGTAATATACAGCATATTCATTTCAATTCTCCTTTAGCCTATAATAAGACAGGAAGAAGCATGAATTTGAAAATACCTATGGATGAAATAATAACATTGTATGCGTTATAAAGGCCCAGTTTTGTAGTAATATGCATTTAATGTAAGTTTCCCACACAAACATAAGATGTTTGTCTTTTTATCCACCATGTTCATTTTGTGATGAATATTCTGTTGAAATGTACCATAAGTTAATACAAATCATTATGGTAACCCCTACACTGAAGAAGAACTGATAATGGTCTTGTCATCCAGGTCATATACCACATATAAGAATTACATACTTGCATTCATGGCACTTCGTACACCAAGGAAATGAGCCTGTTTTGAAGCACAGAGATGCAAAGATGGTGAATTCCTCCAAGTGAAAGGCAGCATAAATGAATGAGAAGCACAATTCAAGTGTAGGATGAAAATTAATGCATGCTATTCCTGTGTCTGAGGTTAAGATTCTACAAACATCCCTCTCCCAAGAGCGATGGGGAATGATGCTGAGTTCAAAGCTTCATAGCAGCTTCTTGTATAAATCCCTGTGTCCTTGATGTTGGTTTTATTTGAGGGTTGATTACCCTCTGACAGACTACAATCTCTATGGAAGGGCATAAGGTCTGCTGGTTTTGATGGTTGGCCAAGGAATTTGTTTACAGACCCAATGATTGTTTTTAGGGGTTGGCTGCATGCACCCTTGTGTGGCAAAAGAAAAATAACACTTTGCTGATGTGCGCTCATCTGGAGATATAAATCAATATGCCTTCTGCTGTGCCGAATGTTTTCTTGTGACTCAGGCTGGTCTCTCCAGACGTATGTGCATCCAGTATGTCTGTTGCATCTGCCATCTTTGAAGCTCAGCATTAACAGTGAAGAACATCCCAGGATCTGACTCCCACACATTAACAAATGCACAACCACGCAGATGCACAACCAAACATAGACATGGCTGCAGTCAGCTTGTGTTAGCAAAGTACCGTCCCCCTCACAGGCCAATTTGTTTGATTACTTTTGCTCTTTCATTGTGTTTTTATTGCTGTATTAATATTACAGAGTGTTACACTGCAAATATGCTTTGTGTAATCAATAGAAGTTTTATATGTTCTTCTAGAGAGTTTGGATCACTGTGATTTAACCTGCTCCATTAAAGACAACCAATAGTAAAAAAAAAGTAAAAAAGAGGACATGATCCTGTTTGGCACTGACGTAGCCACAGACCTTTTAGTTATCATCTCTGACATAAGTTAAAGATGATTGCATGTTTTCCTTGCTTTGGCATTTAACCCTATGTGACCTGTACATGGCAGAGACAGTGCATCAATATGCAACAGTCCAGCTTCCACTTAACCCTCCTCATATCTTGTTTCACACTTCCAGATTCCACAACGATGGACACATGCTGGACATCTTTCAGCGGCTGACAGCCAAAGAGGGGACGTACTTCCTGCCTCAAGACCTGGAGCTGTCCAATCAGGAACTGAGCTACATTGTCAAGAAGGCAGAGCAATGGAGAGGCTTCAATGGGGAGAGGCGCAAGGTAAGTATCTCACCGCTCTGAAGCCTCTCCTGCTTTTCTAGCCAATGCTCTTCTCTTCAAACCCTTGGGGATTAATTGGGCTAATGGCTGTGTTTGTAAGGACAGAATGGGCCAAAAGGTCATTGATACTACTTTGTTAGATTGGTCTGTGTAAAAGGGAGGAATTAGAGTTGGTTGTCTGTAACCCTGGGAGGTTTCTGCTATGGTATAGCTGTAAACGAAATCTTGATTGTGGCAGGATGAAGGTAAGAGGTACTTTTAATGACAGCCATGATGGTTTCACACTGTCCATCATTACCACATTCAATTTGGTCACTTTGAGGAAGAGGATGTACAGAAGGCTCATTTTGAATTTTCCTTAGTTAGTTTTCAGAAAGCTGGGGTCTTTAGCTTCATTCTAATTAGTACAAGATAATTACCAAAACAGAAAACCTGATTAGTCTGTGGCAACCAATTTCCTATGATATTTCATCAAAGAAAGATTGCTCAATCAACATACATGGTGTTATGCACATGCAAATATTATACTGGGGATCTTCTTAATGTGGACAACTGTCAGGGAATGCAGGATTCCACTTTGCATAAATGCATGTCCCCATGAAATTCCTATCACTTGGGAGAGTCTGTCACATGTTTGACAGCCCAGTGTAGGTCAATTATGATGACACAGGTCAGGGCAGTGTATTAGCACTGAGTCTGCACCCGATGTTAAATCTTTGCATAGTGATTGAAAATGTGACTTGTTGAGATAAGGGAAGTAGAATGCAGCGATCAAACCACACCCCCCCTTTAATTTAATCTGTGGGATTTGTTAGTGGAACACATTGCTCGGTGTTCACCATGTTCATTAACTCCCTTGCTCTCTACTTGCACAAGTTCATGTGGCTGTAGAGGGGTGAAATAGAACCCAAAACTACATTACGTTCTGTGTTTCTGGTGAAAGATGGACTTGAATGCCAGGAACTGGTGCACCATGTTGTCTTATAAGGAAGTGAACATATTCAACCAACACCAAAATGTCTTTTGTGAAGTTACCAATTGTTGCATGATTGTGATTTTTTATTTATAACAAGAACTCCCCAAGACTCCCCACATTGTGAATGAAGGCAATAGAAACATGATTAGAGCCAGTTCATTGAAAATTCCCAAGAAGTGATTTCAGCAGTGTTTCAGCCAATACATACATTTACATTTATTCATTTGGCAGACTCTTTTATCCAAAGTGACATACAAGTTTGGGAATACATGTTTACAATGTTTACAAATAAATACAAATCCTGTATTTATAATAATGATTGCAGTTCATCAATTAATGTGTATACAAATTAGTTTTGCTTGAGGGTTGATCTGATGTGCCACAAACTTACCATCATAGAAATCTTAGCAATGCTGGAATAGGAGCCATCATTTTGACTGGATGTAGTATCACTTGGTGATCTCACTTCACATGTTCTTGGTTGAGAATGAAAACAGAGCTTTTTACACCTGTCTTGTAAGCTTTAATGAACTGCAACCCTGGCTCTGAGAGGTGACTACACTACAACTAATTGGATGGTGATGGACCTGTTCATTTAGAGAAAATTGAACCTCCCAATGTTTAGAGACACTGAAAGAAATTACACCCCCAAAGTGTATTATTAAGAAAATGCTTCATTTAGGTGCTGATGGCCTCTTGCTGTGGTAGCACTGCTATATCATCATTGCATTACTGAATTTCTGCCTCCACAGCAACAATTACACCATACATCATATTGTCCCTAATATGGCACTATTAAACTGATGAAATGCTAACAGGTTAAAACATTCTCCAGCATGATGAAAATTTGGGGTTATTGCATTTTATGATTTTTACATTATTCAAGTGGGCCATTTTTCATCAAAATAAGATGGGCTTTGCTATTATTTCATAATTATTGTAACAATTTCTCCTGTGACAAGGGTCACTTTCCTAACTCAGCAAAGACATATCCCTATTAGACTAATTTGCCTACATGCAAATTTTTGTCATTTTTCCCCCATTAAGTATTTATCATAGACAGGAAAAAAAAAAAGTATTCATGAAGGGGAGCAAAGGAGCAGCCCGACAGAGCTGAAACTAATATTTTGCAACTCTAATGATTTTTTTTGCATTCTTAATTAGATAGAATAAGGTTGATATGATTAGGTCAGGATGTAGTGTTTTTCATTAAAAATACATTTCAGAGACTGTATTCCAAATGTGCCCTTGCAATTAAATAATGAATCTGACGCATTCCTTATTACGGACCCAATTAATATCAGAGGCAAGGGCGCAATTTTAATAACAGTGGGCCACAAGGCCTTCATTAGCTGAGTGAGAGAAATGAGGGATGAGGATAAAGAAAACAAGGCACTCAAAGGAACAGTTGCAGTCTGATATTGAGCCAATTTTAGAATGTTATTGAACAGTACACTCTTAAAAGGATAAAGTATAACATTTTCAACAAATCAGATCTGGGGTAAACAGGAACTGCAAATCCTGTGTGTTTTAACCTTATTTCATACCAGTTGTATGTCAGGTGCCAGACAGAGCAACTGAAAATGGAAAATCATTTAGAGGATCACAAGTGAAAGGTTAATCTTGTATTTAAGGTAGGTTATTACATGCAGCAGTAATTTTAGAACCTCTTCTATAGCACCCAATAGAGGGGTTTCAGATGCACTGGATAACCAGTAGCAATCTGTTGCTTGACTGTGCTTCAGTCAGGAATCCTTTAATAGAAACAAATTAGAAATTTCTCAGCAAGTTTGCATATTCCTTGACTGGACAACTTTTGATGTGTAAGTTTCCAGCAGTGTTGTGCAAGTTCAGACATCACTCTCTTCACTCAAGAGCTATCTCAAAGTTCACATCACACACATTTAAATTAACTAGTTCACATTCACTGAGTTTTGAATTTCCTTTTTTTTGTTTAGTAGAAGCTCCTTCCACCCATCCATCCCACGCCCCGAATCATTGCTACTTCCAAAACTAAATGAATTACGGTATTCTAGTATAGAATCACAGACAGAGATTACTTTCATTCAGCCTGCATGAACCACCTTATGCAGCAGTTAAAAACATAAAATGGATTACAGGCTACAAGCTCCACCACAGGTTTCATTACAGTTCTTAGCTGAAAGATGTGCTAGGATTTCAGTTCGCATGCTGGGTGCCGTAAATCCTTGAGAGCACGATTCCTCTTCTTCTGATGTTTATTGGCAGTTGGCAAAAAGTTTTTTTGGTGCATTATTGTCACTCTGGTGCGTAAGAGTTGACACTCTTGTTCACATTCATTAGTTGCAAATTGATATGTTTAGTTCACCGTTCACCAAAAACATGAGCATGTTAATTGAATGCATGTTCATGCACAACTCTGGTTCCTGGAAACTTTGTTACACACAGTATTATCTATAATGAGAAAACAAGCTAATAGGACAGATAATAACATGTAGGTTAAAAAAATCATGTGTATTATTCTGTATTTCATTATTGTTTATGTTGGGCAGGTAAAGTTAAAGCAAGTAAAACAAAATGAGATGATCATGACATGATCAATTAAATTAAGGCTAGTTTTCTGGATGTGCTGTGCTGTAAATTAGAACTCCGCAAAATCTCTCTGACAATGTATATCCCTCCAGCCCTGAAACACTAAAAAAAGAGTCCACATTTAATAACCAACCTGCAAATGGCCTATTATTATCAAACTTGTAATTTTCACAAGGTGGTCATAAAACATAATCTAATTTTTACTTTCTCACCAATTAACTTTATATTGAAAATTCCTCCATGCCATATCATCATTTGAGTAGCTTCAAGGTTTAAATATTACTTTCAGGTTAAGGTGTCAGCAGTACAGCTTACTGGCTAAGCAAAGACGATGAATGAGTCAAGGACCTATCCACCTGTGTGCTCTTTAATTTTCTCTCAGGAAGGAAGGTAAAAGAATGAGTTCCCATCAGACTATTGGCCTCACGTGTTGTGGATGAGCAGGTGAACAGCTGAGAGAGGGGGTATTAGCTTACTCACCAATTATGAAATTTTTCATAACTGAAATTCTTTCACACTTTTTGTTCCAAACTGCTATTAAGCAGATGTTTCATCTGTTACATTTTTACTGAGTTGTTGTTCCCTTCCTGCTTTTATCAGATACATTTTTTGGAGATAGGCTGTGGTATATTTTCATGCCTCCATGCCAGCGAAAGTCAGAGTGGAGGCATAAAATATTGGGGCATATTGTTTTCTGGTTGTCCATCCGTCTGTACGACCATCGGTATACATGTACATACGTCCGTCCCATTCTTGTGGACACGATATCTCAGTAACGTCTGGATGGAACTTCTCCAAATTTGGCACAAACATTGACTTAGACCTAAGGATGAACTGATTCGATTTTGGTGGTCAAAGGTCAAGGTGTGAACGCAATATCTCAGTAACACCTTGAAGGGATTTCTTCAAATTTGGTACAAACATTCACTTGGACTCAAGGATGAACTTGGATTTTAATAGTCACACAAATTATTAATATTATATATGACTCTGGATAAACAGGGAAATAATCTGAAACTAGTCTGAGGCATACAACCGTGAGGTGGTAATTCTAGTTTTTAATTGGGTTGGATTGGGTTATCACTGGGCACCACTCCTAGAATAAATTCAAAATAAAGTGTGTGTCTTTGCATTAGTGTTGTTTAGTAAGTTGATTGTATTTCTTTCTGCTAAAAACAGCCAGACCATTGCTCTAGCTCAAAGTCAAAACATAAACAAAGCTAGAGATTGCCAATTAAATTTAAGTGGAGATTGGCTCACCATAAGAAACAAATCCATAGGTTGTCTTGAAGTATAGCTTTATCGTTAGGTGACCTCTCGTGGCTGTAGTAGTTATAGTTTGAGAATGTACAGGACTTTTACACAGGGGGGACCACTGTTTCTTGAACGTTGAAACGTTAAAAGATAGTCAACGTTGTTTCTTTTATCCATGACTGTTCCACAATCTTAACAA